TTCCCGGCCAGGTCCGTTGCGTGGTTTGTTGTCTTTGAAGTGCAGGGATGGAAGTTCCTCCTGAGTTTGCCGGTCACGTGTGACTAGCAGCCGAATGAAAAGTCTTTACGATTTCGAAGCGCGTTGCAGGAAGACGTTTAAAAACGGACTTTGCAGCAAACTTAACTTTGAACCGAGACTTTTCACGACAAAGAAAATAAAGGAAAGAAATGGAAGTAAGGCGAGTTGGATGGCTTGAATGAGCTGAATTGTAACCCTGATCTTGATGGGTTATTCGTCTGCTGGTCGAATTTGGTCTAGCCGATGTAGAAGCATGTGGACATGTTCTTTGTTTCAGAGATAAGCACGAACAGAACACTCTCTTGCTGGTTTTAGAGAGAGGCGCGATCTTAACAGTTACAGAACTGAACGAACTAAACTGAACTAAAAACAAAACAAAAATCAACACATGATCATCAAAAATCAACAAAAATCTAAACAAAAATCATCTGAAATCTGAACATGAGGTCCTTTGTTCGGATCTTTAACTTAAACTCTAGTCCAACCTCCAAGAAACTTCAGGCCAATGGGTAATGGCATGATCTCAGGAGGTGGATCTACTTCTTGCTTTATCATAATTTATGCATGGTCTGTGAGCTGGTCTCCAGCACTTAGCAGAGACAAAAGACCATCGTTTTAACCTTATGATAATTATAATCATAAAACAAAACCTTTTACGCAGATTTCAATCAAGCCATCTTTTGAATTACGAGAATACGGTTCGTTTAAGAGCAAACGAGGCATTCACACTTCTAATGGTTGTATAACAATTACAAGAGTTAATAGTTAACAACAATTACATGGTTATTATGTGATCTAAGCATAATAACACATGAAGTGTAGGAACAACAACAATTATGATTGGTTATAGGTCCAAGAATTGTTCTGTGGTGAGTTTATATGATTTTATGTGTGAGATCTCCGATCTCAACCGCAAGGTTACTGCGAGTTCAACTCGTAAGGGGGACGAGGAGATGTGTTCTGTGGAACATCTTTGTCAGGGGATCAAAGGGGTCTTGGTTGTGAGCCTCTCGTTCCACCATTTTGGAGCCGATCTGTCTTAGTAAAACAGTAACATATTGACACGTTTCTTCCTGTGGCATTCTGTTGCTATCTGCAGGACCATAAAAGTCTTCGGAGGGGGGTTTATTGTCCCCCCAAAGCAAACCCTCGGTGCCGTTCTGTGACTCTGTGTTCTGGGCTCCAGAACTTGGAGTGTTGAAGCCATGTGAATTAATCCCATGAGAGATTAATTTGATTAAGTTGTGTTTGATTCGCCTTGATTCCCTACAGCATACTCCAGTAAGAGTTTACCAGTTCCAGGGAACCTGGTAGCTCATTCTACCAGGAGCCTGGCCACATCATGGGCAGCACTGAAGGGGGTAGCACTAACAGACATATGTGCAGCCGCATCATGGAGTTCACCTTGTACCTTTGCCAGGTATTACAGGGTCAATGTGGCGGACCCACAGACGCTTGGGTCCACAATTCTGCTTTTGGCCGCTAAGCAGGGATGTAAAGAAGGGGAGACTTCCATCCCTCGTGACCTTGATGGCACTAGTCATCCAAGGTAAGACCGTGGTGACGGTCTGAGTGAGGTCGAAATAGATCGTAAGTTATGACTATAACTATGGATCTATGAGGCCGAACGATGACCGTCACCATTTCTTGTCACTCGGGATGAACTGAGACGTTCCAGGCAAAGAGGAAGTGTTTGGTTCATCCGGATGTTTTATAGGGAACCAACCACTTGCAAGACTGAAGGCTCAGAGTAGGGTAAAAGATATTGACACTGTTCAATCTGTAACCCCCATTCTGCAGTTACAAGCAGGCAATGCAAATTTAGGACCCAAAGACATTGAGCGACTGTCCCAGGGCTTATCCTCCGCACGCACACAGTTCACTGAATTTAGAAGAGCTTTGATCAATAAAATGCGTCTCTACGACATGTCGTTAACAGAAGTCACACAGTTAATGTCTCAAATTCTAACTGAATCTGAATTCAACAGTTTTGAGTCTGCTGTTACTTCTGAACTGCAACATGCCAGAAAAGATGAATTGAGAAAAGGGGTTTTGAAAATCCTAAAGAATATCCTAGGACCCAAGATAGATTGGTCTAGAATTACTAACTGTGTACAAAAGAAAGAAGAAACTGTGAATGAATATACAGAGAGGTTTTGTCAGTCAGCTGTAACGTACAGTGGAATAGTGGATGATTCTGAAAGTGTACTCAATGACAAAGGACCGCTGGTCCGCATCTGGTCAGATCGCCTTATAGCTGACTACAGAAGAGCTTTGCCATTTTTGAATCTGACTTGGTCTCACAGAACTCTTAGAAGTAACCTGGACAGGTTAACTGCTTGGGAAAGAGATTTTAATGTTCAGGCAAGAGTACAAATTGCAGCAGCCTCTTTTAAAGTCAGCACAGAAAACCCACAGAAACGTAAATGTCCTAAGGAGCAGAGAGTGTAGAAAAAGTAGAAAGAACTTTAGAGAAGTCAACCTTTTTGGCCAACTTTTTCCTCTGCTTTCTTGCTACTCTGAAGCAGCCATTCTCCACGCCAGTAAACTTGACCAGCTTGTTGACGTGTTAACCATTTGGACTGTGAGTGCTTAATTTCCCCAGTAACTTACAACAGAGATAAAAGACTTATGTTTGTTTAACAGAACAAAAAGAAAGTGACTGTCTCTGCTTTTCCTTTGGGGGACTGCTTTAAGTAAACTCACAGCCTTAAATGTTATTCTACAGCACAGGCCTTTCATCAATAATAGTGTTAGGTCAGACTGTAAATGCCCACACGCAGTATTAGCACTAATGAATGAAGCAAAAGTCAATTTTGTCACCTTTTCCCTTTGGGGAAATTGGTTTAACTACCCTCACCCATTCTCACGTATGATGTCTACAACGACTGATTTTTTGTTAGAGGATGAAGGAAAAATAACTCATGATTGGGTTACGCAGATCAAAGTACACTTGTCACAGGACAGGTCAAGCCATTAGAGCCTAAGTGGCATGTGCCCCATCAAGGGATGTTGATCGGCAGTATTGTGTCAAGCAAGAAAAAAAAAAAAAAAACTTATGTCGCATTGAAAAGTGTTCTGCAAAGTTCTGCCCACTGACAGGGACATGTTAGGACATGAACCAGTGAGGAGCCAAGGGAAGAACCAAATGCAACAGGCTTTGGGGGCCAACCCTTTCGGTGAAGACTCCCTCAAAGGTTTCCCCCATCCATTTAGTCTAATCCTCACCTCACTGTTTCTTTAGGTGTCAAGAATTAAGTATATAGGGAAAGAGGGAACAATAGCAGACTCAGTGTTTACTCAGCAGGATACAACCCTTGTCTTTGAAGAAATACTGCTCTCCTGTCTTTTGTCTCCCTCTGTGCAGATACCACTTGATGGCTATCCCGAGACCCATACGCACAGACGTCTTCACCTGCGTATGAAGACACCACTTCCAGAAAACAACGAGACCCGCTGCCGAGCCAACTATCACCAAAGTAAAGAAGAAAAATTCACAACGCAGAGAAAAGACTTACGGAACCTTCAGTCATCCATCAACATTATCAAGATGTAGTAACCACCAGGACATCACACAAAGTGAAGACTAAAGAATCCTTGTTTTGCTGGAAACGTTGCAGGCCACAGCCGAAGATGGCTGCATTGACTCACTTGTGCACAAACATGATGGTTAAACAGTCTGAATCTTTCAGCAAAAATTACACCAGATGTAACTGAAGTTTAATTCTTCCGTAAGAGCTTCACGGACCCTACTTGCATGTTTGTTTTCTGTGTCAGCATGCAATTACAGAAAAAGCAAACACAGAACATGTGCCTGTAACTAGCAAAAGTTACAAGAGTGAACTTTTAATCATTTAAATTTGTACTTAATGTGAGAGTTATTAGTACTCTCAAGAGGGGGAAATGTGAGATTACAAATTTTATTAATACATGTTTAATTTAATGTTTTAAATGGAGAAAGTCTGAAAACAGTAGGAATTCCCAGTGTGACCCTCCTGATTGTCCTGTGACCACACGGGAAAGCTAGGCCTTTCCTGTTTCTCGTCTCACCGTGTGAAAATGCCTGTTTGAAGTTTGAACACCTGCTAGGTTACCATTTGTCTTGGAGCTTCAGGGTCACGTGCATTACCATTTGCTTTGTCTCAGAGTCTCCAGCTTCATGTAATCCCACCCTCTTTGAAATGTATAAATTAGAATGTAAGGTTCTTTTAAATCAGACTTATTTTGAGATGACTACAGCGATGCACTAAAGAACTTCTGCATGAAAGATACCTCAAGAGTCTCCTGGTCTGTTGCGTGGAAGAATAAAACGTCACTACAACGTTCATAGAAAATCCTACAAATATGTACTCTCTCTCCGTGTTAGTCACCAAGACATTGTTTATTTGTCGGCAAGTCCGACATGCAGGTAACATGAAGAAAAAGTACATATTGTTCATTTAAATATACTACCAGTACCAACATTGTAACAGTACAACGTTATAAAATGGTCGAATTTATCTTTTACTAACGGCTAGCTAGTTTGGGACCAAATATTGATTTGTAGTTAATTTATGGGAAATGAAAGTTCATTTTGATAATTTTTCTTGGAATGGTTGGGATGGTTTAGCTTTACAAATGCAAATCAACAACATTTATAAAAAAAAACAATAAAAAGTTACTCATTTAAGATTCAAACTGTCCATTGAATCTCAAAATAATGTATGATTTTAGTTGTTAGATGAGTTGCAGTCGAGAAGGTTAAGGAAGGCCACCATTGGTGGAAAATGGTCAAGTCACCATTTTAAGAGTAAGGCTGGGGGATACATTCTAAATTAACTGAATGTTGGATAGTTATTAACATGGGATTTGCAACACAAGCATCTTAAAAACTACATTTATGAAACTGAAAAATATTTGTGCCAAAAGGAGTTAGAGAAAGAGTTCTGCATTGGACTGACCGATCTCCAGGCGTGAGCTTGAGTAGTCAATAATGTTGACCTGAACCCCCTGAGTCTCGATGGAATGCACTGTTCCATTCAGAATTAAATTAATGGTCTTGTGCTTAATGTCCTTCACCAGGATGTTCCGCCAATGAAGATTTCTGAAACATCAGTACACACCACTTACATCAGCTTGCACTGTAGATGCATACAGATTTCTGCATATGCGGTCATTTAAATTTCAGCTTCACACTTGTTACCTGTGTTCAAAGCTCAGGGCTTGCTCAGCAACAGCCAAAGCTGCGGTGACTTGATGTAGAACACTCTTGGCCTGGGTCAAGGATTTTAGCTGCAATGGTACACAAAAACAAAACTTTTAAGTTGTCATAATGATACAATATAGCTCAAAGTAAATGGACAATCACTTCTAATTAACAGGTTTAGATATTACAGTAATTCTTAAAGGGATAGTTCACCCAAAAAGGAAAACATCCTTGTGCCATTTCCAATTAAGATATTTTTTAATGAAATAATGAGATTTATGCCAGTCTACCAAAACTTTTTTTGATCACAAAGTTCATAAAAATATTTTAAACTAAATCCAAATTAGACAAACGGTGTAATGAAAGTCCTCCGAAGAGACATGAAGACTTTAGGTGAAAAAAACCCCACATCAAATATGGTAAAAGGAAGCTCAACTATGCTTTACTGATGTGCGAGAACTAGGGGTGTCACGAGATGCTTATCCCACGAGACGAGACCGGACACGAGATTCACGAGAACGAGACGAGATTTTTGCACAACTTTTCAGAAATCCTCAATGACAAAATGCATGACTGGAAAAATGGCATGCAGGTGCATTTTGCAATCTTTTAACTAGTGCTGTCAAACAATTAAAATATTTAATCACGATTAATCGCATTAATGTCATAGTTAACTTGCGATTATTCGTACATTTTTATCTATTCTAAATGTCTTTTGATTTCTTTTTGTTACATTATTTTTTTCTCATTTTAATGCTCTTATCAACATGGAAAAGTGGATTGGCTTGTTCAGTGCAAATGTTTTTTATTATTATTATTATTGAAAATAACATTGGAATAGTGCTCAATTTCACACTAACGTATATAAATAACCTCTCACACAATGCAACACTGTCTATCAATAAAAGGGTGAAAGAAATACTGACGAGGTCCTGATAGTGACGAGGGGGTGGAGAATTCGCATCATCTTTGTGTGTGTTTGCTTTGAGTGGATGACGAGCGCGAGACGCCAAAATGGATCAGGAGGCATGCCTGTTGCCAGGTCCTGTTGCAAAAGAATGTGAAAAAACTACAAAGTTTGCTAGGACAAAAAGTCCGTTAATCACACGATAAAAAAAAATTAACGCCGTTAAAATGGGTTTGCGTTAACGCCATTAATAACGCGTTAAACTGACAGCCCTACTTTTAACTAATAATGCACTAATGCATGTCATTTCAGGTCTACTTTGAGTATGAATTATCAAATGCATTTAAAGGGTCATGAACCCCCCCTTTCAGCTAAAGTCTAGCTCAATCTTTTTGAAAAATGCAACTGAAATGGGCGTGGCTAGCTGTGAGAAGAAGGGAGGGAGTGGGTGTTGTATGACCATCACTGTCACTGTCCCATGCATTTCGACTGTCACTAAAAAGCAATGGTAAAACGTGAGGAAATGCTAGATTTTTATATAGCTGGCAAAGTTAAAGTCTTATGAAGTACACTGACCCTTTATTATTGTCCTTTCAAAAGTAACTGAATTTCCTACTACATATATTAGCCTACAATAATTGCAATTCTAATTAAAACATATTAATGTAGGCTACATGTATATTTATAATGTCATTATAAAATATATAGTGGTTTATATAGACACTATAAATACATTTCAGAAAAAAATTATTAATTTTCCGCTTAAAAAAAATCGTTCCGTGCATAGTCATAGACAGTAAAAGAAAGTGCATAGTCTACATGCCCTCTGAACCCTCATAATAAATGACTTCTCATTTTACACACACACACACACACACACACACATACACGTCTATATTACTAAAAGGGGACTATCGCTCTACACTGGCCAAGAGGGGACTAGTGTTTCTGGTCATTTTGAAGAAACAAAAATGACGTACAAAATTCTCTTTTAAGGTCTTTTTTCATAATATGACTTTAAATATGCATTTTTTTATTTTTAAAAAAACATGCCAAGTGGGGACCTGAAACTCTGGCCGATGTCTACCTTACCAACAGGGGACTCATATAGCCTGCAATTGAACTGTGTGTCTGTGTGAACAGTGAAGTGAACTGGCAGTGAAATCTTGTCTTCATTTTGTAACTTATACATACTTATACACATATATGTGTGTGTGTGTGGGTGTGTCATTATATAATGCTCAAACATATACATGTCTATATTGCTACACAGCAGTGTCGCTGTACACTGGCGAAGAGGGGACATTCTGAATGATATCTATCCAACCAAGTGGGGACTTTGTGTGTGTGTGTGAACTGGCAGTGAAATCTTTCTTCATTACGCTTACATTATATATATATATATATATATATATATATATATATATATATACACTACCGGTCAAAAGTTTTAGATCAGTAAGTTTTTTGCTCACCAAGGCTGCTTTTTTTGATAAAAAAATGACAAACAGTAATATTGTGAAATATTATGACAATTTAAAATGACTGTTTTCTATTTTAATATATTTTAAAATGTAATTTGAAAGCTGAATTTTCAACACCATTACTGTTGCTGATTACACATCAGTTTTCAGTGTCACATGATCCTTTTGATCAATTTAACTCATCCTTGATGAATTAAAGTATTTTCGAATTTCTTTTCTCCAAAAATAAAAAATAAATAAATTCTTACTGGCCCCAAACTTTTGAATGGTAGTGATTAATGTTACAAAATATTTCCATTTCAGATTAATTCTGTTCTTTTTAACTTTCTATTCATCTACGAATCCTGCAATAAAAATGTAAAAAACTGTTTTCAACATGGATAATAATCATAAATGTTTCTTGAGCATCATATTATAATAATTTCTGTAGGATCATATGACAATGAAGACTGAAATAACGATGATAAATTCAGCTTTGATCACAGGAATAAATTACACTTCACTATATATTCACATAAAAAAACGCTGTTTTAAATTGTAATAATATTTCAGAATATTACCGTTTTTTTAATCAAATAATTGCAGCCTTGGTGAGCAGAAGAGACTTCTTAAAAAACATAAACAATCTTACCGATCTAAAACTATATATTTCTATACTACTAACAGCAGTGTCGCTGTACACTGGCAAAGAGGGGACATTCTGAATGATATCTATCCAACCAAGTGGGGACTTTGTGTGTGTGTGAACTGGCAGTGAAATCTTTCTTAATTACGCTTACATTATATATCTATTATATACATTATTTATATATATATATATATATATAATATATTCACATAGAAAAACGCTGTTTTAAATTGTAATAATATTTCACAATATTACTGTTTTTTTAATCAAATAATTGCAGCCTTCGTGAGCAGAAGAGACTTCTTTTAAAAACATAAACAATCTTACCGATCTAAAACTATATATTTCTATACTACTAACAGCAGTGTCGCTGTACACTGGCAAAGAGGGGACATTCTGAATGATATCTATCCAACCAAGTGGGGACTTTGTGTGTGTGTGAACTGGCAGTGAAATCTTTCTTAATTCCGCTTACATTATATATCTATTATATACATTATATATATATATATATATATATATATATATATATATATATATTCACATAGAAAAACGCTGTTTTAAATTGTAATAATATTTCACAATATTACTGTTTTTTTTTTTTTTTAAATAATTGCAGCCTTGGTGAGCAGAAGAGACTTCTTAAAAAACATAAACAATCTTACCGATCTAAAACTATATATTTCTATACTACTAACAGCAGTGTCGCTGTACACTGGCAAAGAGGGGACATTCTGAATGATATCTATCCAACCAAGTGGGGACTTTGTGTGTGTGTGTGAATTGGCAGTGAAATCTTTCTTAATTCCGCTTACATTATATATCTATTATATATATATATATATATAGATAGATAGATAGATAGATAGATATAGATATATAGATAGTATATAATATATTCACATAGAAAAACGCTGTTTTAAATTGTAATAATATTTCACAATATTACTGTGTTTTTTTTTTTTTAAAATAATTGCAGCCTTGGTGAGCAGAAGAGACTTCTTAAAAAACATAAACAATCTTACCGATCTAAAACTATATATTTCTATACTACTAACAGCAGTGTCGCTGTACACTGGCAAAGAGGGGACATTCTGAATGATATCTATCCAACCAAGTGGGGACTTTGTGTGTGTGTGAACTGGCAGTGAAATCTTTCTTAATTACGCTTACATTATATATCTATTATATACATTATTTATATATATATATATATATATATATATATATATATAATATATTCACATAGAAAAACGCTGTTTTAAATTGTAATAATATTTCACAATATTACTGTTTTTTTAATCAAATAATTGCAGCCTTCGTGAGCAGAAGAGACTTCTTTTAAAAACATAAACAATCTTACCGATCTAAAACTATATATTTCTATACTATTAACAGCAGTGTCGCTGTACACTGGCAAAGAGGGGACATTCTGAATGATATCTATCCAACCAAGTGGGGACTTTGTGTGTGTGTGTGAACTGGCAGTGAAATCTTTCTTAATTCCGCTTACATTATATATCTATTATATACATTATATATATATATATATATATATATATATATATATATATATATATATATAATATATTCACATAGAAAAACGCTGTTTTAAATTGTAATAATATTTCACAATATTACTGTTTTTTTTTTTTAAATAATTGCAGCCTTCGTGAGCAGAAGAGACTTCTTAAAAAACATAAACAATCTTACCGATCTAAAACTATATATTTCTATACTACTAACAGCAGTGTCGCTGTACACTGGCAAAGAGGGGACATTCTGAATGATATCTATCCAACCAAGTGGGGACTTTGTGTGTGTGTGTGAACTGGCTATATATATATGAAGAGTTCAGATGCAAAAGCCTCTAAGTGCCGTTGGAAATATTCTTCAAAAATGATCATTTTTTATCAAACTTATATATTCAAGTTCAGTAATTTCACTTAAATGACAATTAATAGGTAACCTTCATTGTAATTTAAGTGAAAGTACTGAATTTAAATATACAAGCTTGAAAAAAATGATCATTCTAGAAAAAAATTTCAAATGGCAGTTAGAGGCTTT